ACTTCTACAGTTAGTATATTCCAAATCTAGGCATCTCGTTTTTCGGCCCTTCGTGTTTTTATTGCGCGCTTGCCTTAAATTTAAGGTAATTAGATTTAAGGTCTCCAGTGGACGTCATCCATAGCAATTACTTGGTGTGGCCGTAGAAAATAACCTGACATATGTCCAACCTATCCTCCCCCTGCTGAAGTTATAGTACAATCCCTCAATGTAACGTCATCTGATCCCATCCCATTATGGGGTTCCCCGGCTATATCCAGCTGTCGGCTGTCTCCAAGCAGATGTAGGTGGGGGATTTCTAAACACAAAAGGTCCTATTACGGGGACATAACGACCTCCACGACTCTCATCTTTGAACTCAATCTTGGAGACCACGACAGTAATATGCCTATCAAATTTCATTAACTTCCATCCACACATACAAAAGTTATCCTGCTCACAAGAAAAATTAACAAAATGCCCCCTGTAGTCACAACGAAACCCCCCACGAAGCTCAGTAACGAACTTAACCTTGGTCCCGGCAATAGTAAGCACCACACCAAGAATTATAATCAACATTTTACAAATACCTGAGTTATCTTGCTAACAAGCCACAAACACAAAAGGTGCACTAACGTGACGCACGGACCCCCCACGAAGCCAAAACTTGTACTTGACTTTGGCCTCAACAGCGGTAATATGCCTGCCAAAAATCATGGACGTCGAATCATGCCTTCCAGAGTTATATCGCAAAATCCGCAGTTCCCCACACTCCGGCGAGACAATTTCATAGTCCTTCTGACGAAGACAAATATCGTTTTGCATGCAATAGGGGAAGCTAAAGGGCAGACACCACATTTGCGTTGCGCAGTAGAAGCTGTAGTGCCTAGTTAATACCTTTGAAAATCCTGTTTTCTCTTGAAAGTTTTGGTCCATTTTGGAGATTTTGGGGCTGGAAGGCACAGGTAGGGTCTGAACTTTCCTACTTTCGTTAAGTTTTGTTTATTTCACCAGTTTAGTGGGCGTAATGAGAGATGTGAGTGGTTAGGTCTTGTCTGACCAGGCGGATAGATACCATGGAAAATGTAGGTCAAAGTTGAGGTTTTGTTACTATCATCAGCTGTGGCGGGAATTTGACCTGGTCGACCCCCTGTTTCCTTTCTATATTTGGGAATCAGACCCTTGTTGCTACCTGGTGCAGAAAAAAAAATTGAGATTGAAGTATGGGCAAGTACTTTCATGAGGACTTCTAATAGTGTATTTAAGCATGTGTCCCTATGGGCAAATCTAATACACATGTAGTACTGTCTGCCCTAAATCCACCGGACGTGCGTGTGTATGTGGGTCTTTCGTGTAATGCACCATACGTCCGCATGAGGGCTACTGGCGCCTGTTCTTTTGTCGTCCCATAGACATAGCCTCTATATTTACCAGGCTTCGGGAGGTGGATGGAAAGGGTAGAAATTGGCCAGAAAAAATAGAGAGATAACATGCCGAGGGAGTTGGTCCGCTACCTATATATACATTCGGGAAAATGTACTCTCTAGCGGACCAACTCCCTCGGCATGTTATCTCTCTATTCTCTCAACGTGTTCTTCCAGCTGTCTCCCGAAGCCTGGTAGAGGCTATGTCTATGGGACGAAAAAAAGAACAGGCAAAAGAGGAGATTTATGTATCTTTTATTAACTACTCGATATTTTACATTTAGACAAGATATGCAAGAAATTGTCAAAGCAGGACATGTTTAAACACTTGATGTCATGCAAGAACGAATGTATAGCAGACAAACTATGTAATTATGTTTCCAAATGTTTCAAAAAGAGAGAAGAAAGAGCAACTAACAGTAGATGATAGGTATTATATAATATTGTTATAATGTATAAATTCCTAGCAATTAGCATTAGAAAATAGCGTCCCAGTATGCAATACTCATGTTTTTGCATACTGCATGTCCTATTGCACATGTGCATTTAGCCCATCTGGGCAAGAACATGCAATAAAGATTCATATCATATCATTAAATCAACGGATCAGTTTTGGATCTCTCCCCTACCGTCTTGAGAGTAACCGTTCTTCCCTGCGCGCCCTTCTTCACCGGCGTGCCTGTCGATCTCGGTCTCTCCTTCTCTCCCTCGTCCCCAGGTTCGTCTGCTGTGCTGGGGCTGCTGTCCGAAGGCGTGACGTCAGCCTGCGTGACCTTCAACTCCGCTGTTCTCTTGGCGATGACCTTGGAGAGAAATGTGGTATTGGTGAGTTGGGGGATAATACGATAAGAATAGGTAGAAATCATGTTTAGCATTTCATTTATTTCGAAGCCTTTCAGCCCTGCATGACTAATTTTCCAAGGCTCAAACATTAAAATTACATAATAATATACATGGAAAATACAGTGAATAAATTTAAAAAAATATAAATACATGTAAACATCAACAATGAACACACAAATCGATATTAACAATTTAAAAACTTGTGTAACGCTCCAAGTATCCTATGCGGAGTATTTACAGTCACTTTACTATGGGGCTACTAATGTATTGGCCGCCATGTTGGAAGGTTACACTTGCAAGTTGCCCCCCCCCCATCCACTACCATTACCTACCTCTTCCCGCCAGTTGGTTCTCTTGGGTTCCGACAGGAACGTTACACCTGGCGTGACGTCATCTGTCAACGGTCTAGACACGTGACTTCCTCTGCCGGTGTCGATTTTTGGTCCTGTGAGGTTCAAAACGCAGAGATTTCAAGAAAAACCTTTCAAATTAAAACTAGAAAGGTAACATTTACAAAGCAAATGCATAATGTTTACCTTCGCATATGGTCTGCTAGCGCTCTGTTAATTCTTACTCAAACACATTGAATTTCATATATATGGTCAGATAGGAGTCTAAATCCCTCCTGCTATAAAATTGCAACACAATGTAACCCAGCACCAGTGACAGACGTCTGATTCAGGTCATTGACCTTATTGGTTTGGAGAAGAAGAAGAGGAAACCGAGCAAAAACAACATGTTTTCCTTCGATAAACATAAAGATAGGAGGTGGTGCTGCGTCAGAGGATTTTTTTCAAGTTAAAAGCGTTTCCTAGACAAGAATGGGTCCTATACCTAATGTGGGTAAAATGATGTCTCCGGCGAAGACGAGCGGCTTGCCTCTCAGGCACGGCCGCACAGGTCTCAACTGCTTCAGCACCTGGCACGTCCCCTGGCGAGAGTGAGAAGAACAACAGGCGAGATTATTCATGAGCCATTTTTTTTAAGTTTCCTCATGATGATCGACTAAATCTTATAAGAGTTCTTTGATATGGGACTACAACATTGAATAGATACCACATAGTGATCATAGTGGCCCTTTGGTTTTCAATACACCTGTCAAAAATGATAAACAAGAGTTCCACGATCTCATACCTTCGCCAAATGATGTTAACCCTTGCGGGTGACAAATTATACAATTTTAATAATTGATTTTGTAAATAAGAGCTTCATTTATATGGATTATATCAGTTGATCATATTCTCCACCCAATGACAGCCTTATCTTAACAAAAAGGCTATTATAGCACTTCCTCATAAATTATGCAAATGAGGTCATGATTTGAATAAGTTATGTTTATTGCTGTTCACCTTCACTTAACTTCCAAATGTGGCAAGTATGAAATTCGGGGTGCAGCAGTTACAACTATGGAATTATAAGAATTTGCCATTTATTATGCAAATTAGGTCCTCCTTTACATAATCTATATCCTCAGATGTTTTTCTCGTTCTCAAGTAGATGTCACAAGTGTTTCATAGTTCTATTATCGAACAAAGCAGATTTATAGAATTTCCTCATTAATTATGCAAATTAAGTCCTGATTTGCATAATTGCCATTTGATTATGTCAAGCATCACTTCAACTACCTACATACCAAAAATCACGACAATACGTCAACCGGTTCTTGAGTTATCGCCCTTCAAATTTTTTTCAACAAATGCTCCTGCAGTTCCAGAACAAGGCGCTAGGGGACCCAAACTTATGTCACTTCTTTCCTACCCTAAGAGCTATCTACCAACCAAAATTCGTGACCTTAGCATGTCCAGAACATGAGATATCAAAACCGAAAGTTCAGCTGCAGTACCTAGGAAAGCCGCCAGGGGGCCCAAAATCTAATCATTTTTAGGTCTCATGAAGTCCTACCCACCTACCAAGTTTCATTCCAATCCATCCACTCCTTCTCGAGTTATCTTGCTAAACCACACACACACACACACAAACACACACACACACACAGACAAACGCTACTAAAAACATAACCTTCTTGGCGAAGGTAACTACACACTAGGAATACGTGCCAATACATTACATGTATCATGTTGTAGTTTTTTTCTTACCGATTTGATTATGTAGATCCACTCTGATTGGCTGCTGTTCTTCACGATAACTTTTCCTCGCCTAGAATAGCGGTATGGTTCAGTTAGATCTTTCAATTGCAAGGAATTTTTGAAAAAAAAGAGATGCAACATTTGATTTTGGCAAATATATCATACTCGATACACCAGTAATATGTGTTGTCATGTGGGTAGATAAAAAAAAATGAATAGAAAAAAGATTTCTGTAGCACTCACGTAAAGTACTGAAACATGCAGTTGTCAGGGTTCGCAATAAGTCTTTCCAGTGGCCAGTTTTCAAGAAACTCCACCTGTCTGTGGGCAAAGGAATTGCAGCTTTTAGTTTGTTGCCGAGCGTTTTATTTTTGTGTCAAATACCTTAGTTAGGATCGGAAAAATGGACTCTTTAACTCAATGGTAACACTAACAGTCGTTTATCTCAAAGACAACAGACATCAGTCTCTGTAGAAACAGATGTTGCTCTCCATGGCAACAGACGTTGGTCTCTATGGCAACAGATGTTGGTCTCTATGGCAACAGACGTTGGTCTCTATGGCAACAGATGTTGGTCTCTATGGCAACAGATGTTGGTCTCTATGGCAACAGACGTTGGTCTCTATGGCAACAGACGTTGGTCTCTATGGCAACAGACGTTGGTCTCTATGGCAACAGATGTTGGTCTCTATGGGAACTGACCTGAGGAACTTGACGTGTTCGGGTTCCTCCTCCCCCATTCTGTACGCAGGGAGGAACATTTCATAGAAGTCCTGGGATTAAAAATAATTAAGACAGTTTTTAGACAGAAATACACATCTGCGTAAACTATATAGCACGAACATTACAAGCTGTTAACGTCTTTTAGTTAGTTTCTTAAATTATTTTCATTACCAACAAAAAATTGTTAAAAATTGAAAAATACTTAAGAGGCATTCTAATACATTAGTACGTTAATTTGAACCAATACGTTTCCGTTTTCTGTTTTTTTTTAAGACGGATAATAGCCCGTTGATTGGTTAAAACCAAGTGACGTACGTTAGCGCTGATGACCAATAGCTGCACAGGAGTCTGGCTGATGACGGTGGCTGTCCTCCGCTTGTTCCGGAAAAACGCCATTTCCTGGAAAAAGGACATCAAACGATGCCTCATCTCATAAAGACCGTTTTTTTAAAGAAAATGATAACTAGGCATATTTTGCAGGAAATTGTGATTGACTTCTGATTGATCAAGCGTTGAGAATATCGAAACAAGATGCAAGATGCCTGCATTTCTGTTATGGTGGCTGTAGTTTTATATACTGGAACTGGAAAACACAATAATAGCATAACATAATTATAACATAACGATACTATAATTGAGACATAATGATAAACAAGAATTCATGAAATATGTAGAGTTTATGTAAATGTTTTTTATGCATTTGTCTCATTCAAAAATAAGATCATAATTACTATAATCTAGTTAGATTTATGGTTTTCTAAACTCAAATTATAACATTTTGCTTGTGAAATTCCTATCTTTTGACAATATTCTGCTGCAGTATCAAGGTCAGCCAACGGGAGGCCCTTATTTGACCTTGACTTTTGTCACCTACACCTACCAGCATATACCAAATATCATCACAATCCATAAAGGCGTTCTGAAGTTATGCTGAGTACAAATGTGCGGAAACACAAACACACACACAGACAGACACACAGGCACACACACACAGACAGACACACAGACACGCCAAAAACAATACCTCCATTTTTCATGGAGGTAATGATAAGAAAACGTACGCCGAAGCTGGTTCCCTTCCTGAGCACGGCCACATGCCGGGTCTCTGCGTTGTCCTCCTCCGGGTCGATGTCCATGATGTCAACGATAACTGTGGGAAAAGGGAGGGGGGGATACAAACTTAGCCACGTACGGGACGGCGTTCTTCTCACCGCAGCGCCATCTAGCGGCAAGAAATATCTCCAGTCTCTATGGCTCAAAAAGAATCTGCGCGTCGGCAAGCTGAATTGAAGATAAACTTGTTAGTGATATAAGATATATCGTCTGTGAGACGTCCATTTAAGAATTATCGCAATATGAGACATTGCCATGAAACTACAGTAAAATGAGCTTCGTGAATATGACATGGCAATATGAGTTAATTGGTTGTTTATTGGTCTCAAAAATGAGTCAAAACGATTTGGTATGTGGCCTTTTGTTTCTCCTTACCGTTTCCCGAGATGAGGAAGTAGAAGTTCTCGGCGATGTGTCCCTGTCGGATGATGACTCTTTTGGCGGGAATCCTGCAGATAACACGAAAATCCGGATCAACATCGGATCAAAACCGGATCAACGGGATCAATACCATATCAAAACCGGATCGAGTCAACACCGACCTTTAACTTTGTTTCCATAACTACTACTCACCTACCAAAAATCATTAATTTGATCAAGGATTTGTGCAGAACACCTTAGATCAACAAATGCATAAAAAGCCCGCTGCAGTATCCCTGGAAAACGCCAGGTGGACCATTTTTGAACTTGACCTTTGTTTTCACAACAGTTACTTAGATACCAAATACCAATAACATCCATCCTTAACTACTTGAGTTATGATGTTGACATACACCACTGCCACTTTACCATGGCGAAACGGAAAACATAGCCTTCTGACGAAGGCAATAAAATACAAAAGACCCAGTACGTACTCTTCCAGCCAGGCCTCCTTGCATATTTTCTCCTGCATGTGCAGCGGGTACTCGGCGAAGGCGGGAATGGTCTGCAGCCCGTACAGGGCGGTCTGGAGGCCCTCCGGCGTCCTGTCCTTCCCGCGCGACTTCAGCACACGTTTGGCTTCACTACTGAGCGTGACCTGGGAACGAGGGAACAAATGCTGAGCGTTACCTGGGTACGAGGAGTACATTGCGCCTAGGCGCCTGTGTGAAACCCAGTTTTTTTCCACGTACCCAGTTTTTTTCCACGTTTTTCGACCGTTAAGTTATCGAGGGACGAATTTGGCCTGACCCTACATCCCCACAAGAACCCTGATTCAACCGACAGAAAGGTTCATAATGACATTTGAGGGGTAAAAGATCAACTTCGTTGCGCCGCAAAAAAGGGTTTAAAAAACTGCCAACTCCTCGCTTTGTTTACCGCTGTTTGTTTACATTCTTTTTAGGAGCCTCCTAAAAATACAGCGGGCCTGGTGCAACATATATCTTGTGCTGCGCTGAGTCGCCGGAAAAGCGAAATAGCGACGCTAATATGTTGAAAATAATAATCTATATGAGAAAATTTTAATTATCTATATGCACAGTTTTGTCGCAAAAAGTCTTACATAATATCTGTTCTTACATTTACAACTGTTTTAAGAAGCGAGAAGAAGCAGAACCTGTACATATGTAGTTTTACTATAGATATAGTCTACCATCGCTGTTTACCATGACCTGTCAGTACTTAGTTCGAATGAGCAAAAATGTACAATAAAGGTCTTTCATTCATTCAATATCGCTTTAAATTGGGATTGAGAAAAATGATTCTGAGCGTGACTTTTGTCAAGCAAAAAAATCTTTTACAAAATAATGACCAGGCCAGTGTACGTACCTCTTTCTTGGCCTTGTATATCTTGGGATCGAAGGACAGCCCGGGGTCTGACGTGGACTTGGTGTCGTCAGTCCCTACCGAGTCGGCGAACATGACGAACGGCGAGCCCGTACTCTCAGCCTCGTCCGCACGGCCTTTCTCCATCTGCTTAATACTGTAGGGACGGAAACAATTTTTCAAAGGCATCCAGTGCAGTTTTTGGCGACGTCTCAGGGAGGAGCCTAATGGTACAGTATTGTGTGCAGTTTGCAAGAATTCTAGGAATGGTACAGCCATTTTGTCCACAGGAATGGAATGTCCACAGGCATGTCTCTGACCCACATCTATGTACATGTTGTAATTTGAATAGAATAGAGGACGAATGTCACTTTGGTATAGAATGTAGATTATATAGTAAAGAGAGAAATGATCTGTATAGGCTTGTACAAAACCTATTTCCTTACTTCATACACTTGAGCACTGTAGAAAAATTCATATTCCTAATGCGACTTGACAAACCTTCCATCGAAAAACATATCTGTTCCTTTATCTCTACTATAACTGAAAAGCGAGAAGTTGAATTTATGTAATGATAACTAGTTTTATTTTGTATGTATCTTTTTCATCATGTCTTGTTTTGACCAGTACTTAGCCCAGTGTGGCAAAAATGTGCAATAAAGGTCGTCATTCATTCATTCATTAAGATACAATTGCTGTTATTGTGCAATTAACTCACCCCTCAGACACTTCCTTCGTGGACAGGATCCGTCTGAGCATGCGCACGGTCTGTACTGCTTTGCGGAAAAGTTCGACTCCCTGAAAAGAAAATTAAAAGGTATTAAAAGAAAGAAAAACCAAATCTCGAATTAATATATAGAACACAGTAATCTATTGTTGTTGTAGAACATGAACTGGATTGATATGAATACTGGGAGGACCTTAAGAAATGGAACTGCACTTACAGTACCAGCAGCCCATACAAAGAGACTGAAAAACTCTTTCTTACACAAGGCAATATGCCTGTACAACTAGTCTTTGCAGTAACTCTCAGGACTCTCTGGACTGTACTTTAGTGCCCATGTGTGGCTTTGTAATGTGTTTGTTTGTGTGTCCGTATACGTATTGTAATGTTAATTTTGTATTTGCACTTACTACACAGTACAAATGTAACTAAAATCAGTGTTATTCAGCTTGTTTACGTTTGTGCACCAGCTACAAGGCTGATTTTTATTAATTAAACTTGAATAAAACTTGAAAACCTGAAAAGTATGAGACAAGGGTGAAACGGCAGTGCCGAGGTCACATTTCCAAACCGGGGCCCAGCCGGGCAGTCTTATGGAACGAAAAGTATGATATAAAAGACAACAAAGCACAAAAATGTTGACAAAAATAATAATGGGAACTATCTGTGTATATTATTGATACAAATTGTTGATTTTTCGTTAATCAGAACAGCCCGGCTGGGCCCCGGTTTGGAAATGTGACCTCAGCATAAGGGACAATCCTGGGCCCAGCCTATACATCGTATCGCGAGGCTTGCATGACTCTGGACATACCTACACTTGAACAGCGACGAGACGACCTCACTCTAGACTTCGCTAAGAAACTTGTTAGTTCCAAAGAATTCCGCAGTTGGCTACCACCCGCACGTGGGAACACTACTGGACGAACCACACGCTCCAGCGATCTACTTGACTGTGTCAAGACTAGAACTGAACGCTATAAGAACAGCAGTATCCCATATATGATATCCCTTTTAAATAATCATCTATGAGCACATAATTGTTATCTGTATGTTATGTCTGTTATGTGAACGTCAAAGTAATGTTGTCCCTCCTGTAGCAAATTTATAAAGTCAATCAGTGTTTTCGATCTTAATTTGTAGCCAAGTTTTAATGCCAGTAAATGTAAATAACTTTGATGATTTTTACTATACTGTATACTAATGAATTTTAAAATGAATTAATTGTACATCAGGATGTAATTCAGCCTGTGGCTGCAAATTCCTTGTTTTACCAATAAACCACTTGATTGATTGATTGATTGATTGATTGATTGATAGATTGACAAAGTATGATAGCAGAACAATTTCAGCACTTACTATAAGCGTTATGAGCATTATAAGCAGTCTTAAGACAGAACAACGGCTCCACACGCACCTTAAGTCTCTCCTTCACACTTTCTTCACACATCTTTCTCAAGATATGGGCTCTGAGCTATAACTTAAAGAATCTCCTAGAACTTCGAGCACTAGTAGAAGTACCAGCGGCCTCCTGTTTTTGGACGACTGTAACATTTCATAAAAT